CTGTGTCCTTCTGTGTGCATCAGCAGAGTATAAAAATCAGTCCTAGTGTAGTTGATGCTAATGATTCACTTGGTTAAATATCTCTCTGACAAACTGTTTTACTATAATTATTTTTCTCTTCATCATTAAGTATATATTTATGTAGCTGTTGTGCATAAACCATCACATTTAACTTGGCAGCTGCCCTTCTTTCTTAGGTTTTCTTTATACATATCTGTCTTTGGTAAATGAAGGCTCTCATCTTTGTTTAGAGGCCAGAAAAACTAGGAAAAACACAGGCTCTTCAACATACTAGATGTTTGACAAAATATTGTTCTCTGGCCAAATATATTGACATTACTGGCAAGCTTGTTAGAAATTCAATCAGACTATATTTCACATCTTCTCAAAAAACAATTTGCATTAATAAGATCTCCAGTTTATTGTACACATTAAAATTTGAGAGGTGCCTTCTAACTTGATCTGTCATTTCCATTTTACAAAACATATTGATGTTTATGCACTTGATTTTATGCTTTATTATCCAGAAAGGTATTATATATTCTCTGGTGATATGGATCTTATGCCACTCTCTTTTCTAAGGGTTAGAAAATACATTAGGGAATGTTCCTGTGTTAAAAAAAAAATTACTTTATTGGATAATTTCAGTCATTCCTATAAGTCAGAACCAGTTCTCTTTGCTTTCTTATTTTACCTTGAGTAAAATTATAAATTCTGCCCATGGCCACTTTCTAAACGTGTGTGTGTGCTTTTCAGGAACCTTTGAAATTTAGGGACGTGGTCATAGAATTCTCTCTGGAGGAGTGGCAATGCCTGGACACTGCACAGCAGAATTTATATAGAAATGTGATGTTAGAGAACTACAGAAACCTTGTCTTCCTGGGTGAGCATAACTTCAATATACAATTCCTATTATACCCTAAAGGTTTCATTTCATTTCTTTTCTTTTTCTTTTTTTTTTTTTTTTTTTGTAGAATGTTTTTTGGTAATTTATGCTTTGCATAAGTGAGTTTCACATCCCTGTTTTTATAAAAATCTTAGGAATTTGTCTTTGTAGAAAAGAATTTCTTCAAGATGTTTTATCTTGGCCTGAACTTTCTGCATTCCTGAGCTAATCTTTATCTTTCACTCTAGGTTAGAGTGGTAATTCCAGAAGTTTAGTGGCATAAAATATTGTTGCCCACACTTTAACATGTAATTGCCGATTTTTGATTTGTTGTACTGGGCAGTGAAATTAAAAACTAAAGAATTTAGAACTGCTGGGCATGGTGGCTCATGCCTGTAGTCCTAGCACTTTGGGAGGCCGAGTTAGGTGGATCACCTGAGGTCAGGAGTTCAAGACCAACCTAGCCAACATGGTGAAACCTCATCTTTAAAGAAAAAAAAGAATTTAGAACTAAAATTTAAGAACTAAAAAATTTAAGCTACTTTTTAAATATTTAGAAATTTTTTTAATAAATCAGTATTTTGGGATTACAAGAATTTTATATTTTACCCTCTTTACTAAGCACGTTGCCAGGTTGGTGATTAGAGAATATGAGCAAGATTTGTTATTTATTTTCATTAAAACAGGTATTGCTGTCTCTAAGCCAGAGCTGATCACCTGGCTGGAGCAAGAAAAAGAGCCTTGGACTATAAAGAGACATGAGCTGGTGGCCAAACCCTCAGGTAGGTGAGAGTGAAAGTGAATACAACAGATGACAACATAGATGAGCGGTTCAAAGGTCAAAGAAAAAGCTAGTCTTTATAATGTGATTTGGGAAGCTGTGTTCCAAAGGAAATAGTTTCTGGAAAGCCTGAGTTTTTCTTTTTTTTTTTTTGTTTTGAGAGATGGACTCTTGCTCTGTCACTCAGGCTGGAGTACAATGGCGCGATCTCAGCTCACTGCAACCTCCACTTCCTGGGTTCAAGTGATTCTCCTGCCTCAGCTTCCGAAGTAGCTGGGACTACAGGTGTGCACCACCACACCTGGCTAATTTTTGTATTTTTTTAGTAGAAATGGGGTTTCGCTATGTGTTGGTCAGGCTGGTCTTGAACTCCTGACCTCAGGTGATCCACTTGCCTCAGCTTCCGAAAGTGGTGGGATTACAAGTGTGAGCTACCCAGCTGATTTTTTTATGTTGCTCTCACATAGGGGAATCTTCTGTCTTATGCTTTTTTTTTTTTTTTTTTTTGAGACGGAGTCTCTCGCTCTGTTGCCCAGGCTGGAGTGCAGTTGTGCTATCTCAGCTCACCTGAATCTCTGCCTCCCGGGTTCAAGTCATTCTCCTGCTTCAGCCTCCTGAGTAGCTGGGACTGCAGGTGTTCACCACTGTGCCCGGCTAATTTTTGTATTTTTAGTAGAGACGGAGTTTCACTATGTTGGCCAGGCTGGTCTCAAACTCCTGACCTAGTGATCCGTTCGCCTCGGCCTTGCAAAGTGCTGGGATTGCAAGTGTGAATCACCACGCCTGGCCCTGTGTTAACACATGCTTTTATCTCGGGACTCCGCTTTCCCTTCAGTGATCTGCCTTCAATTTTAGAATGAGAGCCAAAGTCTTCCTAATCACATAGACTGCACAGGCCAGGTGCAGTGGCTCACACCTGTAATCTCAGCACTTTGGGAGGCCGAGTCAGGGGTATCACGAGGTCAAGAGATTGAAACCATCCTGGCCAACAAGGTGAAACCCGGTCTTTACTAAAAATACAGAAATTAGCTGGTTGTGGTGGTACATGCCTATAATCCCAGGTACTGGGGCTGCTGAGGCAGGAGAATCGCTTGAACCCAGGGGTTGGAGGTTGCAGTGAGCTGAGATCGTGCCACTGCACTCCAGCCTGGTGACAGAGCAAGGCTCAGTCTCAAAAAAAAAAAAAAGAGACTGCACAATCTGACTGCTTTTCCATTGTTTTTGGGAACACACAAATATCTGCATAATTTTGAGAAACCCTTATGTTAAATTATTAATTAAGTTCTCTTTTTGCATGTCTGAAATGTGTGAGACTAGTGGGTTTTTGTTCATTTTTCTGCACCTTCCATCCTGTTTGTATCACTATAGTCTGCAAATATAGTTTGAAATTATAAAGTATTATGTCCTTCTGCTTTGTTTTTTTCTCAAGATTGTTTTGACTAGTCAAAGTTTATTGTAGTTTCATGTAAATTTTAGAATTCTATTTTTCATTACTGTAAAAAAAAAATGCCCTGGAATTTTGATAGGGAGTTTATTGAATCTGTAGCTCATCTTCAATAACATGGCTCTTTTTTTTTTTTTTTGAGAAAGTGATTTATTTAGAGAGAGAAAGAAACAGCTAACTCTTACAGAGTGAAGTGAGAGAATCCAGAAAGATGGAATGGAATCCAGGAGAGGAAAGCAGCTTCCACACTGAGTGGAAGGGAATAGAGAGAGATAGAGTTTAGGAGGGAAAGACAGGTTTCCACGAGAGAGTGTGGAAGGGGACTCCAGAGGGGAAGTGCAGGAGAGAGAAAGATGGCTTCCACGAAGGGAGTGTTCGTGGAAGGGGATCCAAACATGGAGTCCGATAACATGGCTCTTTAACAATACTTCTTATTTCCATCTATAGACATGAAATATTTTTATTTGTGTCTTCTCTAATGTCTTTCATTGATCTCTTATATCTTTCATTGTAAATATTATCTGTCTCTTGGATTAAATTTGTTCTCAGAAATTTATTATTCTAATGCTATCGTAAATAAGGTTTTTGTTGTTATTGTTTGTTTTTTGAGACGTAGTCTCACTCTGTCACCCAGGCTGGAGTGCAGTGGCGCTATCTCAGCTGACTGCAACCTCCACCTCCCAGGTTCAAGCAATTCTCCTGCCTCCACCACTCGAGTAGCTGGGACTACAGAAGCACGCCACCATACCTGGCTAATTTTTGTATTTTTAATAGTGATGGGGTTTCATCATGTTGGTCAGGCTGTCTCAAACTCTTGACCTTGTAATCTGCCCGCCTTGGCCTCCCAAAGTGCTGGGATTACAGGTGTGAGCCACCACGCCTAGCCAAGTTTTTTTTTGTTTGTTTAGTTTTGTTTTTTGAGACAGAGTCTCACTCTGTCACTCAGGCAGGAGTGCAGTGGTGTGGTCTCCACTCACTGCAGTCTCTGCCTCCTGGTTCAAACAATTCTCCTGCCTCAGCCTCCCGAGTAGCTAGGACTACAGGCACCCACCACCACACCTGGCTAATTTTTGTATTTTTAGTACAGATGTGGTTTCACCATGTAGGCCAGGCTGGTCTCAAACTCCTGACCTCAGATGATCCACCTGCCTCAGCCTCCCAAAGTTCTGGGATTACGGACATGAGCCACCACTCCTGGCTGTAAGCAAGATTTTTAAAAATATTTTATCAGATAGCTTATTTTAAGTGTATAGAACCATACCTTGTATGTTAATTTAATATTTTGCTAATTTACTGAGTGTATTTGTTAGTTTAGACAGGTTTTAATGTACTGTTTATATTCTTTTATATATATAATCATATGATCTACAACCAGCAAGTTTTTACTTATTTGTCTTCAATTTAAATGGCTCTTTTCATTTTTTTGACTAATTTTTCTGCCAATTACTTACAGTTCTTTGTTAAAATAGAAGCATTGACAATAGGCAAAATATAGTTTTGTATTAGTGTCTTTAAATTTGAAGAAGCAAGCACCTCTTCAAGTTTTTATAACCTGTTTTTAGAAGGTAAACATCTTTCGTTGGGCCCTCAAGGTAATGGGATGCCCTCTGCATTGGCAGTGGAGAGGGCATGTAGCTTGGTCACAAGGCAGCTGGGTCTACACTAGGGTCCACTTGTAGTTGGCTTGTTACAAGGGGCTTGGGTAGTTGGAAAAACTGAATTTTGTTTTTATTTTTTGGACAGACTGAATTTTCCTCAGGACTTTGACCTGTAGGGCAGACACTAGGGCAGATTTCTGCAGTTGGGTCTCAATATCATGGGTCTTACTTAAGAATATGGATGAGTATGGCATTCACTGTGTATCAGAGAGGATTTTTCCAGATCACTATGTGGGGTTTTTTTTTTTTTTTTGGATGGATTTTTGCTCTTGTTGCCCAGGATGGAGTACAGTGATGTGATCTCGGCTCACTGCAACCTCCACCTCCCAGGTTCAAGTGATTCTCCTGCCCCAGCTTCCCGAGTATCTGGGATTACAGGCATGCCCACCATGCCCGGGTAATTTTTTCTTTTTTTTGTATTTTTAATAGAGATGGGGTGTCTCCATGTTGGTCAGGCTGGTCTCAAACTCCTGACCTCAGGTGATCCTCCTGCCTCAGCCTCCCAAAGTGCTGCAATTACAGGTGTGAGCCACAGTGCCCAGCCCACTGTGTGGGTTTTAACATAGGCAGAACTGACCATGAACTGTGGCTCAGGGAGCTGAAACTGAGTCATTGATCTGCTTTAGGGACCACAGCTCTGCAGGCCTGGCATGGCTATAAGTCAGTATCTTTCTTAAAGCCTCTGAAAGGGCATGACCTCTTCCAGACTGTGGCTAGGAAATGTTTGAGATGATTACAGAGTAAGTTCAGAATTATCAGTAGGACCAAGTTGGATAGGCCATTTCCTGGTCTGTACTAAAAAACAGGAGTTCTGTAGTTTGCCACCTGCCTTCTGAAAAGGAGCACTCCTCAGCATTGGGCATTAGCAGTTTCACAACTCCCTCCCTGGATCTCA